TTTTTTGTTCAGAAGCCACTTGTACAGTCCCCTCCCTCTTTTTTTTTTTTTAATTTTTTTCGAAGCAAGGAAATCGAAGAAATTCGAACTCTGGACCTCTCGAATACGCGTCGAGAGTACTTCCAGTTATATCGCGGAGGCATGCGAGAAGGTTAGGTTAGGTTATTTAATTATCGCAGAGCCTCGAGGGCTATCTGCCCTAAGAGGAGGGATGCCTTCGTGGAGGACTTTTTAAGGGAAACTGGTTCGTATACACGTTACACATGGGGAAAGCCATGAAAACACCCATGTAGCCAGGCCGTTCGCAGGATTCGAACCTCAGATCGAACTACCAGTTCAGCGACTTTACCGCTCGGCCGCTGGTGGGCCATGCGAAAAGGAGGGAGAAAATACCGTAAACATTTAAATGAGTAAAACATTCTGGAAGCTTGTTGACTTCTTGTTACACATAATAAACAATTATTAGACTGCAAAATATTAAAAAGTAAATCTAACTTTATTCTCTTTAATGCGCGATATTATTCAAGAATGTTATTGCTGATTTAAAACATAAGAGTATTTTTGCATTTAAGAAAAATTATTCATTTTAAAGAATCCTTAGAAATCATCGAAGACAGGGACTTGAATAATTTTTAACTGTAAAACTGCACGAAACCTGAACGCATATTAGTTAGTGTGAAAAGCTCATAAAAGGAAAAAATAATTATAAACTGTCAAACGGTGAAAGCATTCAATAAACAAGTACATCAAAAAAACTGCCATTTAGAAATTAGGAGTCAGGTGTTTATTTTATTTAACCAGTTATTTTATTATTTTGGCTTTTTTAAATATTTGCTTTAGTCAACTTCCATCAGAGTGTAAATTAGTTTAAAATTAAATTAGCATAAATATGCGTTTAAATTAGTATAAATATGCGTCGAGTTTCGAAATGTATATCAGAAAAAGTTTGGCAACAGTGCGCTGGTAGCAATTACTCATATTGGCAGAGTTTTGTTTGTCGCGATTTCTTTGCGAGAACTTAGTCTATTTGATGCCGAGGCTCGGCTTTGCTCATACTACAGTATGAGCAATACTACAGTATGAGCTATAATGCATTCGATTTAACTTGTAGTAGAGTTACTTCTACCCACTGGCTAGTTCAGTTGTGTTTCTGTTGATTTTCAGTTTGTATAACCGTCAAGGTGTTAATAAATATTTTTATTTAAGGTTATTTTATTTTATTTAGTATTTGTATTTACTTTGGGTTGTACCACTTGTAGCTAAGAAGTTGCTTCGAACAAAAAATAGTAAGGTAGATTTTTACGATAACATAAGTACTTAATATTCAGATTATTAGTACATTCAGATTATTAGTGTAACCTTGCTATAAAAAAAGGCCGTATTGTTCAAGAAGACTCCGTGTAAGCAAATTATTTGATGATAAACTTTAGAATGATTATTTAAATTTATATGTTGTCTTTCAAAACTAGCAACGAACACATGATTTCGTGTGCTTTGTATCAATTAGCAAACTTAACATCTCAAATTCGATGGAAGTTAAGCAACAATTTTTTAATCATATCTTATTTCTTCATATTTTAAATAACTGTTCCTTGAAAAATATATAGATATTAGATTTTAATATCTAAAAATTATATTTAGATAACAAAAACAACTTTTGTCTAGGCCCACCAGCGGTGGAGCGGTAAAGTCGCTGAACACTGGTAGTTCGGTCCGAGGTTCGAATCCCGCGAACGGGCTGGCTGCGTGGGCGTTTTCGTGGTTTTACCCATGTGTAACGTGTATACGAGCCAGTTTCCCTTAGAAAGTCCTCCACGAAGGCATCCCTCCCCTTAGGCAGATAGCCCTCGAGGTTTTGCCATAATTATACACACACACACAAATTTTGCCTTAATATTCCAAGTACAGCGTAGGTAAATGAATCATTGTATCGGACATCATTATATCATATATCATGTATCATCTTAATCAAATTTTGAGAGAACATGAGAAACGAAAAATATCTGTTTGACTGTTTATCTTCATTAAACTCTGGAGCGACTACACGAGAAACAAAAACATTCCGTTTCCATTAAGCTGTGAACATGGATATTGAAAACCTATGTGAGATGTTTTATCATCTTTCTCAATGATTTATCGAAGCATGACTGCTCTTTGAATCATTACATCGTATTTTTAACAAATGAGCGAAGCAATTTTAACTTGATACAGTTAGGGAAAGAGAGAAAATTTAAAAAAGGAAGAAAAATCACATCCATTTATTTTATTTGATAAATGATCTTCTCTAGTTTGTGTGAGATTTTTATTAATTAAACAACTTAACATTGACTAAATAAAAGACAGCAATAAAATGTGAGAAAAGTCATGAAGAATTGGAATCAATTTCTAATACTCTGATATTTCACTAATAACCTCAGGTAGTTAAAATACATTTGAAGAAACGGAGAAAGGTATTAATTAATCAATTAATAAAGAAGAAAATTATTAAATATCTTTCACAAGTTCAGGAAGAAAAGTCACATCCGTTTTATTTGGCTGATGATCTTCTCCAGTGTGAGGGTTTCTATTAATTAAAGGACTTAACATCGAATAAATAAAAGACTAAACGATGAAATAAGTCAGAAAGGCCATGAAGAATTAGGTTCAGTTTCTAATATTCTGATATTATACTAATAATCTCAGGACAATAAGCTATACAAATGGTTTAACCATTTGAGGGAAAGAAGAAAGATATTATTAAATGAATCAATGCAGAAGAAAATTAAGGAATTTAATATCTTTTTCAATTAGCAAGTCATTAAATAAATTATTAAATCGTGTATGGCTCAGTATATTGGATTATGGCAATGCATTCGAGGACTCTCTGCCTAAGGGGAGGGATGCCTTCGTGGAGGACTTTCTAGGGAAAATAAGTTCGTATACAAGTTACACATGGGGAAAATTACAAAAAAAAGGAGATGTGTAGGTGTACTATTTTAATGAAATGCACAGGCATTAAGTTATTATAGAAAAATTAGACGGTTAGTTTTTATTATTTGTCTATATACATAATGATCAATCACTGTATTTAAAAACGTGTTTCCTTTGCTACAATATTTTTTTATGTTTCTTGCATATTTCATACTGCTGAGTTCAAACATGACTTATTTTGTGCTATTAGAACCAATTTTAAGGGAATGAAAGAAGTAGATTAGCCTATGCCAGAAAATTGTTTTTAGAATTCCCGCATTTTTTACATATAGCTTTAACAAGCGGTATAAAAAGGCTCAATGTTGTTCTAAACCGAGGCAAATAAATTTTTCTGTTGCTCGCTAAGTCTTCCTGTGATATACATTTCACAAAAGTCGTAATATTTTCAAGTAGAGGGAATCTTCTTTTGATGTTTCCCCTTGCTTATCTATCCAATTTGCATAAAATATATTTTGTAGCATCATTTGCAGTCTTTTGTTTTAAAAATGCACAGCATTTATATGGAGATCAAAACTTCCACTGAATATATTAGTCCAAGATTTGAAGTACACAAATATATTATTAGTCTGTTTTATTTTTACAGAAAAAATTATAGGAATAATGTAAAATTCATTGACGTTAGATGGCAAAATTCTCTTTAAATATATTTTGAAAATATATATTAAATGAGTCGATGAGAAGTGTCGAGGTTATGAGAAGTTTTCTAGGTCATGAGACAGCCTGTCGAGTTTTCATGATGGTCATGAAAACTCGACCATCATGAAAAAATAATTTAGCTGCCAGCTACTAAATATTCGTTGCATTCGAATTAATCGTTAAGTTCTTTAACTTAGCTGAGAAATATTTTTTATTTCTATTTATTCCTAAACTGAAGTATAGCCAGGAATATTATCTAACCCCACTGAAAGATTTTGACGACTCAAAAGATGACAGTTGGCTTCGTACAAGCTACTGTTGAATTCAGCAATTTCAGGGAGGTCCACAAATGAAATTTTGTTTGAGATATTTATAAAATATGTTACCTCATTACAACAAAAATAAAAACAAAATGAGTAAGAACAAGAATACAACGATGACTAATGCTTTTGGATTTAGTTTTTATTTTAGTTTTTCACCATAAAATGCAGCCTCTCACGATTTTATTTCCTAAAGAACGTTTCTTTTTTCTTGAATTCTTTTCCCGAACCTGTTATCGCTTATATAACTCATCGCTTATTCTTCTAACCAATAAGTAAATAACCCTTTTTATTTTACTCGAATGTCGTCGATCAATTTGATTGATGACGAAGAATTGTTATATTATTCTCTTAGAATAATTCTCTTCCAAGTAAAATATATTAAAATGAAATGCAGGCTACTAAACAAATCCAGGCATTTGCTATTAGTATGTAACTTAATAGCAACTGAACTTTTATTTGATTTTCAAATTAAGGTTTTGAATTATTTCTTGCATTATTATTCGCAAAATTCTCTGTTACATTCTAATAAATAAATTAAGGTATTTTGGTATGAATCATTTTGAAGACGAAAGTGCTATTAAATTAAAACTGATATGAAACACAAAATGTATTTTGAAGCATTTCGCACTGTACTACTCGCGATAAAAAATGGGCGTGCTAAACCTTTATGGTACGTGCTACTTTAGAACATGCTAAACATTCACATGATTTTAATTTGTATGCTAAACATTCACATGATTTTAATTTACATGCTAAACATTCACATGATTTTAATTTACATGCTAAATCTTCACAAGCTTTATCTTAAATTTTATATGATGTGTTAGCAAATTCGTAATACATATGAAACATTAAAATGATATTCAGCCAAAAGTAATTAAAAGTGACATAATAATGCAATTAAGCAGCATTTTTCTGAATATGTAAGATCCTTTTTTAACGACTGAGCTTAAAGCTTATCATTAGATATAAATGGGATACCTTGATAAATAGAAATTGTTTAGAATTATATTCTTGAATCATAATTTTATAAACTAAGATTTTGAAAGTTAATATTTTTCTGCTTTACAGATATGTCCTGTTACAGAGTGAGCGTCATCTTCCTTTTCATCCTTTGGATAAAGCTAACAGTTTCAGGTAAGCTGTTACAATTATCATAACATGTTCTATCAAACAATTAATTTATAAAAACTAAAGTAGGGAATTATTTTTCTGTCAAGTAAGATTTGATTTGTTGTTAGTTTAATTGTAAGAGGTAGAGTAAAAAATCCAAAAAAGTTACGATTCAATTCATTTTTTTATTATCATTGCATACAAGAGTTTTAAATTACTTTGTTGAGCCAACTATAAGATTATGCTTTATTTTCTTTCTTAAAATACTCTTTAAAACATATAATTTGTTTATATGCACAGCATAGCAATTAAAAATGGTATAAGATGGTTATTCTCTTATCCCTTAATTTGAAATGTATTTACTTATCTTTTACTTGAAATTATTTATCGCATTCCTTCGCGCATAGGGTTAGCCTGTCCAGTTAGCAAGTGGTTTGAATACAGACATGGTCTGAATCCAGGTTTGAAACTAAGCAAGAGCACGTTTGATTTTTCATGCATCCCTTACCGAAAAACCTAATATTCTTTACAACCTCAACGTGAGACCAAGAGTGCCTAACCCTCAAGCTTTCAAAAAGCGGCCAATATCTATGATTACAGTAGCGGCCAATATCTATAATCTAGAAGTATAGGAAAGTGAACGTAGACTGTGATTAATTTTAAAGTGAAAAATGGCTAGATAATTTGGAGCTACAACCTATGCAACACACAGAAAATTACTTTCTAAGTGCACTATTATAAGTTTTACTAACTTACTGAAAGCTTCAATGCTTCACGAACTTTTCAACTTCATGATGCCTCTTCTTGAAAGGATGTATATTTTCGAACAACATTTTATGTTTTTAGATGTAAAAATATATATATATAAAAGTAAAACCGAACATCTTGAATGCATTCTTAGCAAGAGCTGATGTCTATAATACTAGACATAAATATTGGTACACAAAAAAAAAACAGGTACAATGCTCATATTAAAAATGATACATTTATATTGCTTTGCTATCATTTTGATCAAAATATGAGCGTATTATCAGATAATATGTTTAGAATATTGACAGTTCTGGTGTGATACGTTAGATTTCAAATGGAATGAACTCAAAATTATGTTATAGCAAATGAAATAACTATATAAAAATTAGGATAATAAATAATTGCCTTAGAAAAATACAAAACTACAATAGAAAATAGCTTTAGATGCGCTAAAATAAATTTCTTTCACAGCTACAACAATACAACAATACAATTTCACAGCAGTAGCTACAACAATCACAGTACATATGGAGTCGAAGGAGAGCACTATGATATGACTTCGGAAACTGCAACCGCTAAGCTGCTGCGATGTGCTAGAAGGATGAAGTCAAAATGACATAAATAATTCCAACCGCAATGGCTTACGTAATGATATAAGCAATGAAAATGACATAAGTGATTCCAATGCAAGTTACAGCATTCTCCTGCATTTCGATCAGAAGTTCAGTAACTTTAGAGTATTTCTCCCACCAAAATAATATATATAATAAATATTTCCTGCTATGTAAATTTAAAATAATTAAATTTGTTGTTAACATATTTTTCTATTTCTGAAGTTTCTCTCTCAAGAGCTAAGCATTTCTGAGTCGAAATTATGTTGTTTCTGAATGCTAGATCCAGTTAAATACAAACGGCTCTATTTTGATTTCGGTCTAACTCTAAATAGTTGTTCAACTTGTGCGATGAAAGAGCCGTTGTACCATATACAAGATTAATGATGATAATTTCTGCAATAATTTGGAGCTTAAAATCCCATAACCATAAAAGCGATTTCAGAAATGGAGCATTAATTGATATCTAAGTAACGACTTACTCATAAGAGCTAATTTCTAACATCAAGTTATATCATAAATTACCTCGAAACATCTAAACGGCATATATATTAAGAATCATCGAAGTCCACCAATAAGACATGGTATCACAGATTCCAAACTAGAAGATGAATGATAGCACCGCTTATGGCAAGGACAAAACGAGTCGAAAGAAATCGTTAACGTGGACGGAATACATAATTCTAGACACAGATTTAGCAAGACAGAAGAGTGTCATCAAATTATTCCCTCCCACAAATGGGCGGGAGCTAAGGTTATTTATTCTTCATTCAGCTGATTAGCGAAAGTCTTTGACCATCATTCAAACCACGCTTTCTAAAAGCAGTTCACTTTCAAAAGCTCGTTTCCTGAATCACATTTTGGAAGAAAAATATTATTTCGAAGCCTACATATAAAAACATTTTACAGAACCACATTTTGAATCGTCTATTTCTAGACAACTAATTCTTTTTATTTTTTTGGTTTTACACGGATATTCAATAGCCAGAAAAAAGAGTGGTTTTAGATATTTTTAAATATAATTTTAAGTTGCTTTTGTCATAAACATTTGCTGAATTGACGAGCATAACAATTACGGATAAATTTCAAAATATTTATAAAAATTTAGTTCGTTTTTAAGAAATAAAAGAAGATATGTATATCTTTGCGAAAATCATAATTATAAATCAAAGACCTTCTTTTTTCAAGAAATGGACGAAGATATGCCTACATGTGTAGTTATTTAAGTTAAAATTTAATATTAAATATTTCAATTATATCATCAAATTTAGATGGCACATGTACCTTTTGTAATGTAATATATTCAAATAGTATTACATTTAAAAATCTTTCTAACATTCTCTTCTCTTCTAATAAGGGAAAAGAGAAATCTGAGTCCTATTTTATATGCAATTTTTTCCAATATAAAGTGTGTTTTATAAACATAGCAGTTATATCCTTTATGTAGTTGCGCACTAAATCATTTAGAAATAAATACTTTAATCATCAAGTAATTAAATCAGTTTTAAATTTTTTTGGCAATTTCTTTCTCAGCCGTTAGGTGCTGGTAACTGCTGTATAAGATGCATTGTGAATTTTAGCATTTCTTTTTAAACTTCGTTCGTTTACTTTATGGCATGTTATTTGATATAGATAATTTATTAAATAAAAATTTCTTCTGGTTGATAAATCTGCTTAAGCAGCTGTCTAACTTGCTTGAGACATGAAACTTCCTTACTAACATCCTTTTAACTGCATTAATTTTTATTTAATTTTTGATAAACTTGAGAGCTTAAAATCATGCTTATTGAAGTCATAAAAGTCAATTGGTTCATGATTACTATATTTAAACAATCACACGTAACGAAAGTAGTATGCGTGACATAAAATTCAACAAGAATTCCTTGCTCATAAAAAATTAAAAGAAGATAAAAATGCTGCATTTCTGCCGTGCGTAAATGCCTGTTGTACAACCTTCCCTCCCATTCATTTGTCAAAATTGAAACCTTCTCAAAGAATCCAATTAGCATAATAATAGCTATTACATTTCGTTTCGTACTTCGAATTAAATGATATTTAAGGTCTCGGTAGTTAATGACTTTGTGGTTTTGAACTCTTTGTCACGATATAACTACTCATAATTAACATTCACAAATGTGACTCGTATCCACTAAAAACGACAGAAAGCCGGTAGAATGTCTATGCAGATTTATTAAAACCGGCTAGGTAAATTTATGGGTTATATTTAATGGGCAATTTCAAGGAGGTCGATGCCCTTGTGATAGCTACACAAACACTTTATTAACTTTAACTCTGCTTAAGAGCCTGAGGTAGATCAGAAGTTTCGCGTAAACCAAGCAACTTTTCTAACATAATATCTTCCATGAACAAGTCTCGGAATGAGATCTTGCATGCTAATCAGATAATTAGACTGGGATCATCTCAATACTGACTTTTCGTCCATGCGGCTTCTTGTTGCAATAAGCACGGGCACTTAAACTATTCTTCAGCGAAAGTTGAATGCAATCATTTGCTGAACATTTTATGACGAAACTGTAGAAGATATCATCTCAGGAACTACTCGGAATTTGCATGCACACGAAATATTTTTCGCATGACTTGAGAAAGAAGTGTTTATAGCACTAGGTTGTCTTGGCATGATGACTCACTGAGCTTAAACCTTACTGACTTATCAATGCATTTCGTATGTTTTTAGGCCGTTAAACTGAGGAAGCGTGACGCAGCTCACTAGGGTTCCGTGTGGAATCCTAAAAATTTATGAGAGCATTTATAAGACCAGATCTTTTTGAAGACATTTTTATGCCCAGGAAAACAAATCGTTAAATTTTTTTAACGTCTGTTTTTTTAGCTTAATTCAAGATTGTCATTTATTAGATTGGAGTAATATATAGCAACTTACGCTGCTTTAGGCTATCATATGAAAATGGCAATGTCACCTTTATCCAGTGAAGGCCATTTGAGTGGTTCTTATTTAATTGACATCATATTATTGCTGCATTTAAAAATAATTTTAAATTACTTTCAATTCCAAATTCTTTTATAGGTATTTAAAATATCACTCACAGAAAAAATTTAAAAAGTATTGTTACAATTAAAAAATAATAGAATAAATATTAAAATTTTACAACATCAATAAATATTAAAATAAATATTTAAAATTTAAAATATCAAAATTTTACAATTAACTTGAATACGATGTTGACGTTTCAAATTTTTTAATATATAAAATAAAAATATGTATATATTTTTTCTATTGAATTCACAAAACCGGTTTCCATACCAATCAATTTCTGCGGGGAGGTAGAGAATGTAAAGAATTAAAAGATATTCTTTGCATTCATGCTGTTGAGGTGAAGCAGTTTTCACATCATATTCTAAGATCCCCGTTAAGGGCAGAGTATGGCTTTAGGTATTTCATTGTAACCAGTGCTTTAGCTTATTTTCTGCAGAAGTCAGTTTTCTTTAAAAACCTCAAGTTTTTCTTAGTTTTATACGGAGTAAACATACCATGCAGTAAAATGCGTAAGATTTGATTACTTTGCTAACACTTAGATCTAATTTTTATCTTAGTTTTCTTGCTCATATCCTTTTACTACTGAAATATGGAAATGACTTAAAAAAAAGATTACTGATTCTAGTTTTGTGTTAACTTGCAGCTCAATT